AGATATTTGAGTGGGTCCTTTAAAATGGGACACCCTGTATATACAGGGTGGACCATTTTAACCTTTAATGGAGAATAACTCGACCGGTGAGCGAAATAATGAAAAAAGTTTCATACAAAAGTTGTTGGACAAGGAGGGGGACGTATGACCATATCCTTGAATTTGACCTTAACTTTGACCTTAGGGGTTATTTGAAGGTCAAATAACATTTTTTAAATGGAATTGCCTATTTTCGACCCCGGATTTGGAAAGAGCGGGAAATTTTAGAATAGGATATGGTATGATCGATAAGATCAAATGTCATGTTTTGAGGTCATTTCAAAGTCAAAAGGAACTTGTACGTGTATTCATGCGAAAATCGTATCTGTATACGGGGATTTCTAAATTATCTTCTACACTTAGCATTACCCAGAGACAACGACGTGGACGTGGTAGAATTCTGCCTCTTTCGGGGTGCTTGTTTAGAGTGAGTCCCCTTGCCTCTCACTATGCATACTTTGCTATTGTTAATCTAGCTATTCAAAAGGTTTTCGAAAGTTGCACCGTTAGCATTTATGCAATAATTGAGCCTTCTTTGGAAATGGGCCACTGTGCTGAGCAAGACATTTCGTGGAATCGCTTCACAAGCTCGTCTTATGCGATTTTCCATATCTTCTCTTGTTGTTGGTTCTTCTTTGAAAACAACTTCTTTCAAATAGCCCCAGAGATAAAAATCGAGTGACCTCAAATCAGGAGAACGAGAAGGCCATGCAATCGGACCCTCTCGACCAATCCATCGGTTCGGGTACCTTTCATCTAAAAACCTCCTGACTATACGTGCAAAGTGCGGTGGTGCACCATCCTGTTGGAAGAACATCCTTCGCCTGGTTTCCAAGTCTACGTTCTCCAACAAATGAGGCAATTGGTCTGTGAGCAAATCGAGGTACGTATTTGCATTCACAGTACGTTCGAAAAAGAATGGACCAACCAAGTATCCATTAACAATCCCGCACCAGACATTGAGGCTCCAGCGGTGTTGATTGTCAATCGCTCTATGCCAGTGCGGATTGGTATCGGACCAATAATGGCAATTATGCCGGTTCAACTCCCCTGTGTTCTTGAACGTCGCTTCATCGGAAAACATCACAAATCTAAAAAAATTAGGGTCCCGATCGATCTGCTGTAAGGTCCACCGGTAGAACTCGAGGCGTCGATCAAAATCGGCAGGTAATAATGTTTGGGTCAAAGTGATATGATAAGCATGGTACTTCCGAGCCTTCAAAATCCGCAAGATTGTGGACTTCGGTATTCCTGTGGATACCTCCAGTCTACGGCTCGAAATATGAGGATCGAGATAGACCGATGCCAAAATAGTCAGCACTCGTACGTCATTCTCGTCATATTCGTGATGACGACGTTGACGTGTCATTTTGAAGGCTCGGAAGTACCATGCTTATCATATCACTTTGACCCAAACATTATTACCTGCCGATTTTGATCGACGCCTCGAGTTCTACCGGTGGACCTTACAGCAGATCGATCGGGACCCTAATTTTTTTAGATTTGTGATGTTTTCCGATGAAGCGACGTTCAAGAACACAGGGGAGTTGAACCGGCATAATTGCCATTATTGATCCGATACCAATCCGCACTGGCATAGAGCGATTGACAATCAACACCGCTGGAGCCTCAATGTCTGGTGCGGGATTGTTAATGGATACTTGGTTGGTCCATTCTTTTTCGAACGTACTGTGAATGCAAATACGTACCTCGATTTGCTCACAGACCAATTGCCTCATTTATTGGAGAACGTAGACTTGGAAACCAGGCGAAGGATGTTCTTCCAACAGGATGGTGCACCACCGCACTTTGCACATATAGTCAGGAGGTTTTTAGATGAAAGGTACCCGAATCGATGGATTGGTCGAGAGGGTCCGATTGCATGGCCTCCTCGTTCTCCTGATTTGACGTCACTCGATTTTTATCTCTGGGGCTATTTGAAAGAAGTTGTTTTCAAAGAAGAACCAACAACAAGAGAAGATATGGAAAATCGCATAAGACGAGCTTGTGAAGCGATTCCACGAAATGTCTTGCTCAGCACAGTGGCCCATTTCCAAAGAAGGCTCAATTATTGCATAAATGCTAACGGTGCAACTTTCGAATACCTTTTGAATAGCTAGATTAACAATAGCAAAGTATGCATAGTGAGAGGCAAGGGGACTCACTCTAAACAAGCACCCCGAAAGAGGCAGAATTCTACCACGTCCACATCGTTGTCTCTGGGTAATGCTAAGTGTAGAAGATAATTTAGAAATCCCCGTATACAGATACGATTTTCGCATGAATACATGTACAAGTTCCTTTTGACTTTGAAATGACCTCAAAACATGACATTTGATCTTATCGATCATACCATATCCTATTCTAAAATTTCCCGCTCTTTCCAAATCCGGGGTCGAAAATAGGCAATTCTATTTAAAAAATGTTATTTGACCTTCAAATAACCCCTAAGGTCAAAGTCAAGGTCAAATTCAAGGATATGGTCATACGTCCCCCTCCTTGTCCAACAACTTTTGTATGAAACTTTTTTCATTATTTCTCTCACCGGTCGAGTTATTCTCCATTAAAGGTTAAAATGGTCCACTATATGCATGGTAAATCAAATGTAATTAGAAGACCAAAAGCTACGTGAAACTTGCGCTAGCCTGACCTCAGAAATGTTGTTTAAAGTTAGACAAAATTTTGTAAAAGGAATTAATAAGTGTTTAACTGTGAGTGATTAACAGTTCGAACATTTAATAAAGTAAAAAATGTAAAAAACTATGAAGTCTTTTATTTAATTTATGATTTCATCATTTTAGTTTGAATGCACTTTACTGCAAAGTTTAAATGTTTGTTTAAACAAAGTTTAAACTTTTGATAGAAATATTAAAAAAAAATGTACCAGATAAAGTTTATTTGTTTCTCCTTAAATTCAAATATGTATTCAATAACATTTGATAAGAGGTTTCATTTCAAATTACGAAATTATCTTTCTTCAGGGGATAGTGCAGGCGGGCTTTTGTTTATGTAGTTAGAAAAACTTCTTAAATCTATGAAACTTTATCATGAAAAATTTTTTGATACGACAAATATTTCTAGAGTTTTTGGGTTATCAAACTTTATGCAAGCCACTCTGTATAAAGATTAATATCATCGATACTTTTTTATACGCAGAATGATGTATGAAATCAAAAGTTCAAAATGAATTCGAATGAAATTTATTATACTTAGGTAAAAAATATCATATCATTCTTAAAGCTTAAACAGTTTGATTTTGGGTTTAATTAGGACATTCTCAATTTAAACAAAAAGTTAAAATAGCATTATCTAAAAAGATATAAGCAATTTTATAATGAAAATGTCTTACAAGGGGAGGACGCATCGACCAGGAAACGGTTTGGAACGAAACTTACGGAGTTAATAGTACTTGAGTACTAATAACTCATGGTAATAGCACACGACGCAATACCTCTTCGTTTTCGAGAAAAAACGGTCTAAAGAAAAGAGCCAACAAATGTACGAGTTAATAAGAAAGATATTCAACGAAACGGCGTAGCGCAGCAGCGAAGGTAACGCACTACCAAGGTGACGGCTGAGGTTCGATTCCTGCTGTATGGTTTTTTTTATTCTGTAAACATAAAAATGAAACAGAAAACATTAATAAATAATAAAGCTGCGTTTCTTAAATATATTAGTGTTTGTTAAATATATTATTAATGATTTAAATTGCAAAAAGACCGTAAATCTTATCTATAAAATATATAGTGTATGAGAAAATTTTTATATAATAATTGCAATGGAAATAGGAATAAAAATATTGTTATGAAATATATAAGAATGCTATTAACCCTTTGCGGTCGATGCCGCCACAGTGGCGGCATTCGCAAGTCATCGTAGAAGTCGATGTCGCCAGGCTGGCATTCATGATCGCCTGGCGTGCGGCACAGCAAATGAGGCTAGCGATAATGAAAGAAAACTACCCTCCCGATGCTAGATTCAAATGTTTAGATTAACTTACAGATATCCATGTTTATCGATCTCTTCGAAATCGGCCGATCGCAAAGGGTTAAACTAGTATGAGATAATTTTTCGTAATCTTATATCGTATATATAAAATATTTATTTCTGTTATAACTTTCTATGTTGTGTTGAAGTCGTGTTGTGTTGAAGTTGTGTTGTGTCTTTATCTCTTCTGGCAATCCCCTCCCCAAAAAAACTTCCTTTATGTCATTCTAAACGACCGTTAGGAATGACAAAATGATTCGAGGGTCGGAACAGTCGTCAGTAGAACAAGCAGCAGTGTGCGTTTACTAGTGATACAGAGCAGTTCGTTGATCATATTTAAATTACATATATCATAACAATTACATATATCATAACAATGTCAGAGAATCCTTCAACAAGCAAAATAGTTGATGTAAAATCGCTAGAAGAAAGATCTTTTGAAAATAAAAATTTACGGTTTTTGTTGCAATTTAAATCATTAATAATATATTTAACAAACACTAATATATTTAAGAAATACAGTTTTATTATTTATTAATGTTTTCTGTTTTATTTTTATGCTTACAGAATAAAAATAACCATACAGCAGGCATCAAACCTGAGCCATCAGCTCGATAGTCCGTTACTTTCGCTGATCCGCTACGTCGCTTCGTTGAATATCCTTCTTACTAACTCGTACACTTTGTTGGCTCTTTTCTTTAGACCGTTTTTTCTCGAAAACGAAGAGGTATTGCGTCGTGTGCTATTACCATGAGTTATTAGTAGTCAAGTATTATTAACTCCGTAAGTTTCGTTCCAAACCATTTCCCGGTCGATGCGTCCTCCCCTTGTTAGATTAAATTTGAAAGCACATGTTTAATAAGAGAAAGTGCTGGTTCAAATGGTCTCAAATATTTTATATATTTACTTTGTTGTAATCTCAATAAATTGTATGCTTGTATTGTTTCTTATTTAACAAAATGAAATGTTTACAGGGTTTAGGAAACTTGATAGGCTCTTTTTTCTCCTGTATGCCCATTACGGCTTCTTTATCTAGGTCGTTGATTCAGCAGACTGTAGGCGGACACACGCAGCTAGCGAGTTTGATATCATGTGGGCTCTTGGTCAGCGTATTACTGTGGATTGGCCCATTCTTTCAACCTTTGCCACGAGTAATTACTGCTCCTATTACTTCATGTATATCTTAATTTTGAAATGTGTCACGTAACTATGCGATAGCATTTCTTCCATCATAAATTGAAACAAATAAGGCAAACAAATTCAATGTCTTAGTTATCCGTAAATAAAATCCAGTATACAGGGTGTCCGGAATGTGATCATTAATATTTTGTGTACTGGTAGATTGGGTATAGCCGAGAAGAAAAGTCATGTACCATAATCAAATTGTCAAATTGGCAATAGTTATCGAGTTATTAATTGAAACATGTGAGCCAATGAGCGCATAGAGAACGCTAGGCAGCCGCCTCTTATCGCTTGCGCTCGCTCGTTCGTCGTTCGCGCTCGCTCGCTCGTCGTTCGCGCTCGCCCACTCCTCGTCGCGCGCGCACGCCTCTTGTCGCTTACGGTTGCCTCTCGCCGCGCGAGGTAAGCTATCTTCTTATACATAGAGCCCGTCCTGTCGCTTTCTCGTGCGCTTATTCGTTTATACATTTTAATTAATTACGGAATAAATATTGAAAAAATTGTAAAATGGCACAGGACTTTTTTAATTGTATTAACGAATTCTACCAGTACACAAAATATTAATGATCACATTCCGGACACCCTGTATAAGACGACAATCAACCTATACGTGATGTTTATTAGAAGTCATAGTGTGTTCTAGCGAGCATAATTGTGGTGGCACTGAAAGGGATGTTGATGAAAGTCACCGATTTCATGAAATTCTGGAGATTAGACAAAATAGATGCCGGTATTTGGGCCGTTACTTTTATAATTGTCATACTTTTCGACGTCGAGTACGGGTTATTCATCGGCGTGCTTCTCTGCATTGGAAGGTTACTCGTTCTCGCTATGCGACCTTACACATGCAAGCTTGCTCTTGTACCCGATACTGAGCTTTACTTAGACGCTAAAAGATACAAAGGGGTACGTAACAGTTTATATCCATTTTAATTAAAATTTTAAGTTTCATACTTTATTCCATCTTCATTTTATTTTCTATTAACTATTTAATGTATGCATCGCAGATTCTAATATCGAGAGCTAATCGAAGCATATAATTCGTTTATTTAAATGAAATTTATGGTAATTATATAAAAAGATTACACATTTCGAACTTTCTTGATTTTAAAACATACAGGGTGGCTCATGTAAAGTGTTACAAGTCCATAACTTTAAAAACATTTATCAAATCCAAAAATTATTTATAAGGAAGTTTCATGTATTTGAGAGGCCTCTCTAACTACATAAACGTAAAGTCCTCGCTTCCCCTTTAAGGGGGGATGGGGGTAACTTCATAATTTTAAATGGAACCCCCTATAAAATGTTACATATTTGGATTCTATGGGAAAAAACAAATAAATTTTATCTGAAACATTTATTTGGAAAATGCTTCTATCAAAAGTTATAAGCATTTAAACTTTAAAGTAGAATGCATTGAAATTAATGATAAATTAAATAAGACTCATAATTTTTCAGTTGTTTTTATTTTATTAAATGTTCGAACTATTGACCATTAACATCTAAACACTTATTAATTCTTTTTACAAAACTTTGCCTAACTTTAAACAACATTTCTGGGGTCGCCTTAACGCAAGCTTTACATAATCTTCGTTTTAAGTCTTCTTTCGTCGTAATTGGTTGAGATGTGACTTTCTTTCTCTTTGATATACTCCCATAAAAAGAATTAATAAGTGTTTAGATGTTAATAGTCAACAGTTTGAACATTTAATAAAATAAAAAACCTGAGAAACTATGAGTCTTATTTAATTTATCATTAATTTCAATGCATTCTACTTTAAAGTTTAAATGCTTATAACTTTAGATAGAAGCATTTTCCAAATAAATGTTTCAGATAAAATTTATTTGTTTTTTCCTATAGAATCCAAATATGTAATATTTTATAGGGGGTTCCATTTAAAACTATGAAGTTACCCCCGTCCCCCGTTAAAAGGGAAGCGGGGGCGACTTTACATTTATGTAGTTAGAGAAGCCTCTTGAATACATGAAACTTCCTTATGAACAATTTTTTTATTTGATAAATATTTTTAAAGTTATGGACTTGTAATACTTTACGTAGGCCACCCTGTATGTTATAACAGATAAAGATCTGGGTAATCATTATAAACATAATAATAATAAACATAATAATATAACTGTTATATTGCTGTGATGTAACGTACAATTTATATTTATGTTATATGTGATATATGTTAACTGTAATTTCCCACTTAAACAATATTACAGTTACATAATAGAAATATATAATAGTTACATAATAGAAAAACATATAACATGTTACTAAAAGATTATATATGTACAGAGTATATAAAAAGTACCAGGACGGCGAAATATCTCGAAAACTAAGCATTTTAGAAAAAAAATGTTTCAGACAAAAGTTATACAGCTCAAGGGGGACATAAAACAATTATATCATTTTATTTACAGGTGGTGCCAGTTTCGAGATATTCACTAAGTATTACTTTTTTTTAAATAGAAATCCCAATTTTTTATCATATCATCTTTTTCTAACAATTAATTTAAAAACTTTTGTCTGAAATCTGAAACATTTTTTTATTTGCCTAATATTTTTGAGATATTTGAGAAAAACTTGGTAACTTTTTCAATATTTAACTTATAATATCTCGCTAACTACATATTTGTTAGAAGAAAAAGCGATATTTGACTTTTTCACTATATTTGATCTTAAGAATATATTATTACAATAGTGCCCTAACTTTTATTAACTTATTGACCTCTGGCAATTTCCAAATCATAAAATTAAGCTACTTCTGTAGTAGGGTCTAAGGTTCTTCTGTAGTAATTGTATTTCACGTTTATATTAATATATTTACAGGAATACAATATTCTCAATACACAATATTCTTTAGTAATCGACAGGAAAATCGTCGCTCCTTACGCACATTTTATATGTCAGCCGGAGATTATCTAATGGAATGATCGCTGTGAAAGTATTTAGGATATATGGATTAATAATTGATTATTCCTACTAGAATCGTGGTGTTCACTACGATATCGATACTTATCCTCAATTATGATATCGATACCTGACACTTCCTTTACTAAGTTCACGGTTAAGCCAGTGTCGAATAATAGAGGAACGTTTCCTGCTTTGGTCTCTTGAATGGGTAGTAATATGAAATCTAGTTCTGTGTTTGCTATTTTACACTTTGAGATTTGATTATTTTGTTGCTTATAGACAGACCCTTATAGAACCTTTTAGGTTCTGTTGCCACTTTCATTATCACATGGAGTTCTGTACCACTTTCACTATTACTGTTCGTAGGGATAAACCTGATTCGGCGCCTTGTGCTTGTGGTGGATTAGAAAGAGACGCGGCGCGTGGTCTATTACGTCTCGTAGTTTCCGACTCGACCGGTTTCCTATAGAATGGTTTCCAACATTACTCATGCATATGTCTGTTTTTCCGATAATGCAGAACGATCTACAATGTTCACGGTGATATTCATGCGGGTGTCCCCTACCGGTAATAAAGTTAATAAGGTTAATAAAGTAAATCTAGTCACGTGGCGATTGGAATAGTAGTCTTCTCCGTGATGCTCGGACTTTCCGCATTTTTGGCAGTCTAGTGTCTTACTATTGTATTTGGATCAGTATGCTTGCTGCGGGGTTCGTCGTAAATGTTCCGGGGTGACGACTATATCTGCTCAATTCGACAATTATTTTTTCTCCAATTACGCCGATTATCATTTCGGCGAGAATACACAGTCTGCCCCAGATACGATGAGACTAGTTCCATCAAAGTTCTTAGCGCAGCGACATCTATGAGTGAATGATGGTAGGTGAATGTTCTACCCTTCATCTACTTAACCTCAAAATTTGAGAGAATTCGGTTAATATTTCACTGTGGTTTGACATTTTATGTAAAGTCACTTTGAGTACGTCGGTCGAAAAACCAATATGGAACAAAGAGCGAATATTAAATTCTGTTTTAAATTGGGTAAAAGTGGTGCAGAAACGTATGAAACGCTAAAAAAATGTGTACAGGGATGAATGCATGTCCCGTGCACAGGTTTTCCGTTGGTTTGGCCGATTCCGTGACGGTCGTGAGGACCTTGCAGACGATGACCGAGCACCGCCGCCAAAAACCATTCGCAATGAAGAAAACATCGAGAAAGTCAAAGAAATTCTTCGAAGCGACCGCTGTGTGTCTGCGAGACTCATCGAAGAGGAAACTGAGATACCGAAAAGCACAGTCTATCGAATTTTGACCGAAGATTTGGGCAAACGGAAGGTCTGTGCGCGCTTCGTGCCACATACTCTGACAGACGACCAAAAAGATTGGAGAGTTCAGCATTGCAGCATTGCAAAGACATGTTAAAAATGTCCCGAAGGAATCCGGCAAGCATGTCAGCCATTGTAACTGGTGATGAAACGTGGTGTTTTCAATACAAGCCAAAAACAAAACGTCAGAGTGCGGCATGGAAGTCACCAGAAGAGCCAAAAGAGAAAAAATTACGTTTTCAGAAGAGCAAAATCAAGACAATGCTAACCGTTTTCTTCGATTCAAAGGGAATTGTTTACAGTGAATTCGTCCCAGAAGGTCAAACGGTGAACGCAGAATATTATCTGGGAGTTCTACAACGATTGTGGGCCAGAATTCGACGAGTTCGACCGGAATATCGAGAGCCAGACAGTTGGTTTTTGTTGCACAATAATGCACCATCGCACAAAGCCATCACGTGAATTCTTGACCAAAAAAGGCATCATTGTTATCGATCATCCACCGTATTCACCTCCGTGCGACTTCTGGCTATTTCCCAAATTGAAATTGGCGATGGCGAAAGGAAATCGTTTCGATACCATCCCGGTCATCCAAAAGACTTCGACCACCATACTAAAGGCCATTCCAGCCGATGAGTATAAAAAATGTTTCGAAAAATTTGTTGAACGTGTTACGTCCTGGAGGAGGAACGCAACTTGACGCTTGCTTTCGCAAGCTCCGACGTACTCGCAAATCTGCGGAACAGATCAAGAATCGGAATGACCCCTTTATCTGGTGTAGACGTACGTCGGTGATCCTTTATTTAGGTCAAGGAACTGAATCTTTTTACCTGGGATAGGACCGTGAGCGACAGTTGAGGGAAGGGAGAATTTTTGGTTGAGAATAATTATTTGGAAAACGTGATTGGTTTACAATTACAAACAACTTGTTTTATTAGTGATTAGACGGAAGTTCACAATGAAATACAATTTGTAAGATTTTATAATGTGTCTGTATACATATGTGGTTAACAATCGCGCTCAGCACAATGATTCTCGATTACTCAGAACAATATTCCGTGTTCGTTATGTCCGACTATGATCGAAAGGATTGGGCCACTGACGTCTGATTTAACAATTAAGGAGGAATGCCAAGGAGGATAGAAAACGGAAGTAAAACGAAAGGAAAAGAAAAGAGAGAGAAGAAAAGATAAAAAAAAATGAAACGAAAGAGGTCACTCAGGTAAAAGAAAATATAAGTAACTTACTGCTGGACTTCTCTGATCTTAGTAGACAATGAAAGGTGTGGTTGCTGCGTCTCTGTGAGGATGGACCCAAGTTGCGCCAAGGACTAGAAACTGGTCTCAGCAGGATCTCTCGCAATGTCTCAAGAGTGCACGAAATCGTTGCAGAAGAATAGATGACTGAAGAACACTGATCTGACTCACTAGTAGGGTTGGTTATCAAGAAACCCTGAAAGGGTGTTGGAGAGAAGGCTCTGTCCTGGCTGCGGGTCGGTCGGGAGGAGAAATAGAAGTGGCATAGCTTTTTCACTTTACCAAAAACGTCAACTCGGTCGAGAGGTGGGGTTTGGGAAGTTGCGTCAGGCTCCAAAGTTTATGTCCAAATATGGGCATAGGATTTTGTTGCAACTTTTTGGAAGTGGGGTTTTAGTAGGGTTC